ATTTAACTCCACCTTTTCATTCCGGGGCTTCAAGATCGGTATTTAGCTCCATCATTCATTTTTCCAAACGTGGAAAAGCATTCCCCGAATGTGGAAACTTGTAAGGTGCCTACCCGACGCTCAAAAATGAAGGAAAAGAATGCCCCCTAGCTTAATATCTGGAAGGAAACTTAAAATGCGGCGCCTACAACCAGTAGATTACAATTTCGACTTTTTTCCAATAGGAGACGCCGGCTTAAGGCCATCAGGCAATAGCTCCGCCCTCGTCCCCAAATAACAGGTTAGGAGTGGAGGAGGCGGCACACTGCGCAAGCCTCGGCCCCGCTCGGTCCCGGCACTCGCGCTTCTGGTCTCCAAAGCCTCCGCCGTCTCCCGCTTGCTTCCCCTGCCAGGCAGGACCCTCGCCACCACACACACCACATCTCACGGGTTTGCGGGCGGACGGCGGCTTAAGTAACCGACCCTCCCGGCGGGGCCCGCTCCTCAAAGACTTTAGTCCCTTCCTCTGACGGGCCAAGGTGTAAGTGGAAGGCCTCACACAGTGCGGAAAGTAAGCGAGCGAGGTTCAGTCGACGGCCAAACGAGCGAAATCAAACCCAAAGCCTGCACCGCAGCCCTCGGACTCTGCGCCGAGGCCCCAGGTTCGCGCCGCGGCAGAGGGCTCCGGTTTTTCTCGAAGGGAAGTCCAGCCCGCGGCGCAGCCACACGGATCGCGGTCGGGCCCGAGGGACTGTCGTGCCAGCTCGGTGACACCCGTGGGCAAGGCTCCCCGACTCCCCCCACTCACAGGCGCGCACGTGCAAACCGGGTCCCCGCGGGCACACGCGCTGCCGACTCACAGCCGTGCGTGTCCGGGCTCACACCCCACTCCAAGGCCAGTCTGCGAGGCCGACAAGCAGGGACGCGAAAACGCGCTGACGGAGGGGCCTCACGACCCTGGGGGGGGGGGGGGGGGGGGGGCTGTGCTGTGCCTGCACCAGAGACCGCGTCTACACAGTCACACACACCTTCCATCCCGCGTCTTAACAGCACACACGTGTTGTCAAACAGAAATGAGGAAGTCAAAGCCCCTAAGGGGGGAGTGTTCTCAGACCTCGGGGACCATCCAGGTAAGGGGGCGGGGGGGGGGGTTCGCACACGGAAGACAGCTGTATACACGCGCGCGCGCACACATACACACACATACACACACACACGGAGGCTACGGCGGCCACGACCTGCCACTGCACCAAACGAGACACGGAGAAGAGGGGACTCCGCGCCTTCCGGGGTCCCTCGCAGCAAGCGCGCCGAGGCCAGACCTCGCCACACACGCTTCCCGGGTAACGACCTCCTCGGCGCCGACGACGGCCGCGTCGTCAGGAGAAAGACACGGGAGCCGGAGAGGACCCCCCCCCCCCCCCCCCCCCCTCGCGGGGGGGGCGGGGGGGGGGGTCCCCGGGGGGGGGGGCGCGAGCCCCCGCACCCCCCTCGCCACCCCCCGCGCACTCACCTCGTCGTCGTGGTGCTGGCAGAAGCCCAGGCGCTCCGGAAACACGGACAGGATGGAGAAGGGCGCGCCGGGGAAGGGCGGCCCGAGCCCGAGCTGCTGCGCGGCGGCGGCGGCGGCGGCGGGACCCGGCGGGCCGCGCTCGATGTAGTGGTCCTTGGTGAGGCGCACGCGCTGGTGCGCGCGGACGCAGTTGTCGCACAGGTGCTCCTGGCAGTCCAGGCAGCGCGACGAGGCCGCGTTGCCCTCGTCGCACGAGCTGCAGCCGTGCGGCCGGCGCAGCAGCAGCGCGGACGGGGAGGCGGCCGGGGCGCCGGGCGCGG